ATACTGTGATCGTCGTCATTTTAAAGTAAAACACGACACGTTGAATGAAAGGAATATCCATGATCATTTTCATATCAGAGACCCGAGAAATATTGTCGTACTTACTCATACATATACTCAGAGATCTCGAGCAGGCAAGCGTGTCTTTTCTTCAAAGCACGCAGAGCACAGTCGGTGTAGTGGCTGGCGAAGCTGTCTGGGTCTCCGTCGAGAATGTTCTGCCACGCTCTTTTGTACAAGGGGGAAGTTGACGTCTGTGTAAGGAAGTATTGGTGATAGTATCTAATGTAGAATGTGTATAAGGCCGAATTTTAAACATATTTGAATGTGCTATAGGAGTACGTATTCTAAGATAGTTTACGCTCCATGGAATCCGTTTTTTATCATAGTCTATTTCAGGGTCCATTTTCTAAAATAGTTTGGGCTCAATCGAATCCGTTTTCTCTAACAGTCTGTATTTTCAGGATCCATTTTCTAAAATAGTTTACGCTCAATCGAATCCGTTTTCTCTAATAGTCTGTATTTTCAGGACTCATTTTTAAAAATAGTTTACGCTCAATCGAATTTTTTTCTATCATAGTCTGGGTTTTCAGGATCCATTTTCTAAAATAGTTTACGCTCAATCGAATCCGTTTTCTCTAATAGTCTGTATTTTCAGGACTCATTTTAAAAAATAGTTTACGCTCAATCGAATCCGTTTTCTATCATAGTCTGTGTTTTCAGGATACATTTTCTAAAATAGTTTGCGCTCAATCGAGTCCGTTTCTTGCAACAACCAGTTCTCTCGGGATAACCTTTAAAAGGCGCGTGTTTAAGGTGAAATAAATCTCAGGAAGTGAAACCGTAACACAACTGCCCAGATTCTTTCTAGTTTAAGCAAGCATGGGACATTTTAAAGCCAAAACACCCCTCCCTCTCCCCAAGGTCTATATAAGTACTTATATAGACCTTGCCTCTCCCCACCTTGATCGTCGCCTCCACGATGGTTCCCGACGCGACAACCAGCTGGTGCGTCCCAACCCGAAGGAGTCCGGCCAGGTTGGTGAAGGGGAGGTTGCTCTTCACCACAGACAGCGCCGAGATGAGGAAGGTGCAGTAGAAGATGTAGAGGACGGTGCCGAAGAGGAAGATCGTGAGGAAGGCGATGCGAGTTGGCGTTCCGCGGGCTTGGAAAGTCGATCCTGGGAGGGGAAGGAGGGAGGGGGTGACGGGAGGGGAGGGGGGGAGTGGGGAGGAAGTAGGGGAAGGGAGAGGAGTGGTGGGGAGGGTGGGGAAAGGGAGGAAGGGAGAAAGAAGGTGGGGGGGGGAGAGGAGGAGTGAGGAGAGAGAGGAAGTAGGAAGGGAGAGGAGGAATGGTGGGGTGGGGTGGGGAAAGGGAGAGAGGAGAAAGAAGTGGGGGAGAGGAGGGAGTGGGAAAGAAGGAGGAAGGGTAAGGGGGAGAGAGAATGGTGGGGGTGGAGGTGGGGTGGGAGAGGGAGGTAGGAAGGAGGGAGTGGGGAGAGGGAGGAAGGTGATAGAGGAAGGAGGGAGAGAGATGATGGAGAAAGGAGCAGGGGGGGAGGGAGGAAGGGGAAGGGGAGTGTGGTGGGGGTGGGGTGTGTGGGTGGGGAGAGGAGGAAGGAGAAAGTAGGAGGGGGAGGAGAGGGAGTGGGGAGAAAAGGGGGGAGTGGCGAGAGGGAGGGAGAAGATAGGGGAGGGGAGGGGGGACAAAGGTGGAGCGGTTGTCAGAATTAATCGGTAAGCGAATTTGTAGAATGGAAAGTAGATTACGTAGTTAATTCGGTGAAAAGATGGATAAAAAGTTGCTTGGATAGCTATACCTGATAGATATATGGATAGACAGATAAACAGAGCGATAAATAGGTAGCTAGATTGACACAGATAAACAACTAGACAGACAATACACAGATGTAAAGACTGACAGACTGAATAATGAATAATCGAGTCGATAGTTATATAAACGAAGTATGAATAGAGTGATTGGGAATCGTTACAGTACAAAAATGAAATGATTTCATTTTCCTTTTCCCACTCATTAACTGAACCCATCCCCGCCCCGCCCCCCCACAATATCCATCTATCTATCAATCAATCTATATAAATCCTCAATTCCCCCCCCACACACACACACACACATAATATCTATCCATCTATCTATCAATCAATCTATCTATATAAATGCCTCATTTCCTCCCCCCCTACACACACATATTATCTATCCATCCATCTATCTATCAGTCAATCTATCTAAATGCCTCAATTCCTCCACCCCCCCCCACTCATAATATCTATCTATCCATCCATCTATCAATCAATCTATCTAAATGCCTCAATTTCCTCCCCCCCACACACACATAATATCTATCTATCTATCAATCAATCAATCTCTCTACATAAATGACACACCTTGCTGACACATGGCGCCGAAGACAGTGAGCAGAGCATCCGGGAAGGGCACGGCGCTGGGACTCCGCGGCTGGTGCACGGTGACCACGGAGAA